CTCAAGTCACTTTAGAGTACTCTTTTGGTAAAGAGTTACACAAATGTCAACTCAAAGAGATGCCCTGAATTATTATCTCGGATAAAGTACTTATTTATTTCATATAACTTCATAGGTTTGGGGTCACACAAAGCAGCAGATCAGATAATCTGTAAAAAATGAGCAAGCTTTCTATAACCAAAGAGGTTTTGGAAGAAGTAAAGCCCATGCTGGAAATTGTCATAAAACAATTTGAAGGTAAGACGTTTTTAAAAAGGCTGCTAATGGGAATTAGCAGAGAGGATGGAAATTCATCCCAGAGAGGAGCAATGGAATATCCAAAAACACTTTTGTTCGTCTTAAATGCTACACTTAAATACAGGGGATAGTTAAAGCATATATGATAAAATTTTGAGTTCTGTGAAATAAATTTACAAAAGGGAAAGGAAAACTAATTTTTATAGTGGTGCTATTTCCCCTATTATTGTTTTATGTACTAATTCAGGGCTATATTATGATTGAATAAATCATATCATAGATATTTTACTCTTAATGATAAGCAACATTTTCCTCAAAATTCCAGAATTATAATAAATTTACAGTAAATGGGCTTCTTACCTCACAATTGTCTTTTCAGAAAACCTCAAATTTATGTCAGCTCACTAATGTATACTTTGCCTGCTAATTGACAGGTAATTAAATAAAAAGTGAACTATGTGGAAATTCTTTACTAATATCACATATGTCCCCTTCATTCTGATACAGGAACTAACTATACCTGTGTCTGCATATTTCCAGTGGTAGCAGGATGTCTGTAGAGTAACTTTTCAATAAGGAATGAAATAGAACTGAATTAGAAAATTTGGAATATGACAGAAACTTCTAACTTCCTGCCTACTCATTAATCATTCCTATCTTTTTATTGGTAGAATCTTGATTTCTTTGTGGGCAACAAAGTATACAAATATTCAAACTCCTGTCTTTTCCATAAGGTATTAGTGGAAGTCACTGCTTGTGACTTCTTGGGAATCTCCTTAAAAGGGGAAAAACTCACTGATTTCTTTTTTTTTTTCTTGATCTTCTCTTTTCTCTTGTTTCCTCCCTGAAATACAGATGATTGTTGGTGATAAAGTGAGCATCTGAGGATCAGAAGGGTTAGTCACATAAGTATGACAAAATTGGAACTAGAATCAACCTTGGTCTTCACTGTTTTCTTCAAATAACTGATCCAGCTTTCACATGCAGACTCTTAGACTTCTACTCACAAAGACCATTGTGAAAGATTCCATTGCATAGAGCTAATTTTAGCCACCCAGGCAGATTGTTTGGATCTATCTAGGGTAGTGATTCTCAAATGAGGAAGGATTTGGTGAAATGAGGAAGAATTTGTATGACAGAATCTATCAGAATGATTTTTCACTTTCCTTACCACATTTGACACAACCTGCAGAAAAAGGACCTATTCCTCCTCTCACCACAGTGAGAACTGCTGTGACAATGAGTCCCCAGTACTGCTGAGAGTGTTGCATTCTGGGCTATGTGAAGGTGCTCAGGAAGATAGGTTAGAGAACACTGCTCCAGAGAGGCCTATGAAAGATTGTAAATCAAGTGTTTGCAAGTCTTGAAAGAGCTGGAATGGCTGCGTATTCAGTCAATCTGAAGGAAGCATGCCTGAACCATCTCAAAGTGGAACTTCCTACAAAGTGCAAGACCCCAGAAAAAGCAATCATCAAAAGATGCTTGTAATTTCAGTGACAGGTTTGGTAAAGTTGAGCCGAAAGATTAGATAGCACTGATGGTTAGCTTTGGAGGACACTTTAATGGCCAGCCATTTGGATCTCTTATATAAGGCAAAACTTGACCTCTACCACATTGTTCAGAGATGTCATCAAATGGTTTCTTGAATACTCCCACTGGTTAGTGCCTGTTGAATTCATAAAGCAGTCCATGGCACTGTGGGAAACATTTGGTAAGTGCAAAGTCTTCCTTTACCACGAATTTAATGTGGTTGTATCTTATTACCATGTACCATTTATATTGCACTTCATTTATTTAAAGAGATCACATGTTCAGTTTTGATTTGATAATCACAAAGTCATATAAGTCATTTGAAAATGGTAGCTTTATCTGTTTCTTCACTTCTATAGATCTGCTCAGAGAGATTATGTACACTTTTGGGAAAGTTCACAATTCTTAGGTGGAGCACTAGACTTGAACTCGGGGCTATTGACTTTGATCAAGCACTTTTTCAAACTGTTATAATTTTATTCATTCAAAAATGCTTTGCTTTTACTATCTACTGATTACTGTGTTAAGTACAGATGGAATGGTACTCACATATTCCTGCCCCCTCCTAGATCAAACAATTTAATAGTTGCTAATCTATAAGTCCTCTTTTTAGCTTTTGATAGAATGCAAAGAAGTGAATCCTTTCTCAATCATTTGACTATCACATTGCTTCACAGGTGTTTTTTTCTAAAAACAAAATGTGTCCCATTCTTTCAACAGCTTCTCCTAGATAGGTATTTTGGAGCTTTCCAACATCTTTATCACTTTTCCCAGAAACCTTCTGTTTTGTCAAGTCTCCTTCTCAAGAAATTGTGCCCCAAATCACACAACCCTGCTTCCGGGATGGCTCTGGAAGTGCAGCACACAGAAATTCTTTCCTCACATAACTAGAAGGTTAAATTACTATGAATGCATCTGCGTTCATCAAAGTTAGTTTCTCATGGCCCAAGTTCAATCCCTGGTACCCACCCACCTCAAAAAATGGGCTGGGGATTTAGCTAAGTGGTTCTGCTGCTGCCTGCCTGCCTGGCTTCTGGTTAACTAAAAACACAAGAGCACCTTCCTGTGGGTTACACTTACATGCTGGGATTTAGTGCGTTGTTATTAAATTTTACCTCCTCATCTATATTAGTATTAAATCTTTTGAGACCTTCTTTGTCTTAATTTGGTCATTTACAAGGTTAATTCTTTCCCAGTCTCACATTATGAACAAATCAAATAATTGTGTGCTCCATGTTACTGATAAAAATGTTAATCTGAACAAATTCAAAGACAAGACCCAATGATACTCTATTCAGACAAGTTAGTCTTAACCTGTTACTTTGTTAACTTGCGACACTATACACTCATTATGCCACAAATATTAATAAGTGCCTAATTCTGGCCTACGTGCTGAGAGGAAAAATGAAACCAGGTGAGTTAGCGAGTTAGGTCATACAGTGTGTTATCAGGGTGACTGCAGCATGGCAGGTGCTCCACCTGTGAGAATTAAGGAGGCTACGTAATGGGGTGCCATCAGCTCAGCCCACCATTGGGTAGAACCTCAGATGGGCAGAAAGTGGTTGAACCCACTAGGAGCTAAAAAAACAGATTAACACTTTCCCAAAGTTCTAAATTGGAATTATATGTAACTCTGAAGTGATATAATATATCATGACTTGATGAGTGATCTCATTTTGAATCTTATCAGTCCTTTAGATCTACTCCAAAGCTGAGTACTAAACTTACATGATGCTGTTAATCTTCTATGACACAAACATGTTAAGACCTTCTGAGTTACTTGGTTACTGGCTACTTTTGCCTGAATCCACTTTTCTGGTCCCTAAATATTTGGTAGATGATGTTACACTTACATATCACTATCAGATATTATAGAAGTAGGTGCAACTATGAGCAAGAGCTAGGACATCAAAGGAACTGACAACAGCGGGGGTGGGGGGTGTGGGGGAGATTCGCATGTGTAAAACACAAGGAAGTGACCCTTCCGTTTTCTTTCTGATGGAAAAGCACTTTGTGAGAAGCTGGGCCATTTGTGTGCAATGCTAAAACATCCAGTTTATTAAGCCTTTAAAAAGTCACTTTTCCCTTATTACCCTTCCCCTACCCATCCCACCCTACACTGAAAAAATGGAAATAAAGTGTTTGTAAATGGGGAGGGGAGGAGGGGGTGAAGGAAGGGCAGGGACAAGGGAAAAAATGAGAACCAAGACCTGTCATGTAGAGGTACAAGATTGCAACAATGAATGTAGCTGTACTGTATCCCTAAAATGTACCAATAAAGTTAATTTAAAAAAAATCTTTCTATGTATGTACGCAAAAAAAGAGTCACTTTTCTGGGAAGAAAAACTAATACTATGACATTGGTTATTGTGCTCTCTCCTATAATAAAAGACAAATGATTTTTTATGTTTTCACTGGGTTTGTTGTTAAACCACACAACCCAAAAAATTTACAACAAAAGATGTATCTAATGTATCTCATATCTTTGCACTTAAATCTTTAAAGACTTAGTTATTCAGAAATTCAACCACTGTGCTTTCCTGGCAAATGTGAGGTCCTGAGTTCAATTCCCAGTACCAGAAAAAACAAAACAAAACAAATCAAAACACAGATAGCTCGAGCAATTTAAAGAAAGATTTGGTAACTTTTCTAAAACAAAAGAGAATTTGTTTCTCTTATTTTGGAATTAACATTCAAATACATTCCTTTATTTTTCGCTAATGAAAATTAGTTGTTTCTTTATCAAAAGAACTAGTTTTATGAATAAAAAGTATAAAATTAAGAAGTGCTGTCACCTTTAACAAGATGACTCATCAAAAGAATCTTTTTATTGTAAAAAAGTTTAATCTCTATTTTAGGACTGCCAATGTATTTTCTTAATGGAAAAAATCAGTTCACCTATGAGGTTATCTCTTCAGTTCTAAAAGGAGAGTATAAATTCTCTGCCTGCCCATTAGATATAGGCAACCTGGTTCTACCTTCAGCACTGTCTTTCATTTTTCTTGCAAAGATATTTTTTGCAGTTGGAGATCAGAAAAGCCTGCATTTCACAATCTTGGAAATGCCTTATTTTCTTAGGATGTCGATAGTAACTCTAACACTGAGAGCAGCTGAAGGGGTTAACACTGGGACTTGGCTGGGTATCAGTTAAACTTTTTTCTCTGGCTCTGCTCCGGGTTTCCCCTTAAAGGGATTTCCCTCCTCCTCTGCCCTTTATAAAGAACTGACTTTCTATTTCACTCACACTAGCCTTTCTGGCTTTAGGAGCTGAAGACTCTTCCCAGGCACTTTCAGGTGGACAGAATTAAGGCTTTGGAACCAGTATTTTCTCATCACAGAAGCAACTTTAAAATGCCTGCGAAGATGGCCATGATCTTTGGAGCTTCAAATATACTTTGGATGATGTTTGCAGCCTGTAAGTTCTTGATCTGTTCCAAACGTTAGCATTCCATTTGGCCCTGTTTTTAGCTTCAGTCAGTTCTACTGTGGAGTTGAAGAAAGGAACTAGGATTTTAAATAAGAAGGAAATTTAATTTCACCAACCTTTTAGTGTGCTATTGAACTTTGCTATATACCATTATATTGTCATATGTAGAGCTGAAAATTAATGTTTTAAGAGCCCTTTTCCAAAGTCCAATAAGTAATTTGAATTCTATCTTAGTAAGTCTGTCTGTTTAGTTTCCTGTACTTGATAATGAGGTCAAACTTTGCAAACAGCAAAATAACTTTGATAAATAGGTATCGAAACAGGAACTGAGAGTTCTCATAAGTGAAGGTGATTCTGACACCTCCTTTGGCAGGGACTTCGGTGCCTTTTGGCCACCGTGGAGATAGTTAGAAGGTGTTAAGGAAAAGGTCATCAGGGCCATACTTTGGTCTTTCTACTGGAACAGAGAAGAGGGAGTAGGATCCCAGACAAAGCAGTAGTAAATTTGCTTCTCTCTTTTTTTGCTATTGCAGCTCAGGCTTTTACAATTGAGACCTCCCCGGAATCCAGGGTTCTTGCTCAGATAGGTGACTCCATCTCACTGACTTGCAGCACCGCAGGCTGTGAGTCTCCGTCTTTCTCCTGGAGAACGCAGATAGATAGTCCATTAAATGCCAAGGTGAGGAACGAAGGCGCCAAGTCCACGCTGACCATTGATCCAGTTAGTTTTGAGAACGAGCACTCCTATCTGTGCACAGCAACCTGCGGATCCAGGAAAGAGGAAAAGGAAATACAGGTGGACGTCTACTGTAAGTACTTAAAGAATCTTTGGTTTTCTCTCAATTTTGCTTTAAAACAGTTTTTTAAAGATATAATTTAAAGAAAGCTTTTAAAGTGATACTCATGTCCAGAATCTTGGCTACAAAACATATGGCAACCAGAAAGCATGAGCAGATGAGGCTAGCACTAACTCAAGTTTTGGCTTTTATGTCCATCTCAGTCACAAACATGGTAACTTAAGATTCTACCTCTCTGGGCCCCAACTTCCTCAGCTATAAAAACAAAGTCTCTAGATTCACTCCCCCCAAAATTTCCATTTGATTATATCCATACATGTTTACTTACTCATGCATTTAAATGATTTATGAATTGTGTCCCACAGAGATTTTTCCATTCATTTATTCTGATGCAATTTGATGCTTTTAAAATCAGTTTAAAGATTCTCTTTTTTAGTTGCATCTTTCCCTGGTTTGGGAATCAAAGTGATATTTGCTTCCAGGAATTCTGTAGAAAATCCATCATTTAGTAATAGGTTTAAGTTTAAAAGTTTTCTCCCTAGATATAATAAAAAATGCATCTAAACATTTTAGTCAATAAATTTAGGAATTTTGTTGCTGTGAAACCTGGGTGCTCAGGCTCAAAGATATTTTTATAATGAATTAGGTTTGCTTCATGAATGTATCTCTATCTTACCAGCCTACCAAACATGGATTCCAATCCACTCTCGAGTCAGTAAGTGAAGTTAGTAAGAGGAGTAACAAAACGAACCGCATGTAAATCATTTGACTTTGGTTTCTGGTGACCTCTCCTTCTTTCTGAAAAATTGTACTCACACATCGTACTGAGATGTAGTAATTTCTTCATGAAGACCTTATTTGATGAACTGACAACTACACTGGTTTCTTTTAACTGTACTGGATTCCAGCTTTGCCCAGTAACCCTAATTGAAATTTCAACAAACCCCATGTGTTGTTAAAGCTTCCCAGGAAACTGTGCCAGGAAGGCTGCTTTCAATTATGCTGGTTGTACACACATACTTTATGTCTGTCCAGCCTTCTGAGTGCCTTGAAAGGTCCTCTTATGTAAATATAAGAAAAAGAAGCAAGTTCTTATATTACCTTCCATAAAACTGAGTGGACTACAGGCACCTTTCTTACAGAATATAAGGGAAAGAAATAATTGTTGGAAAATTAAAAATACTATATTTTCAGATAACAAAGTACTATTCCTTTGTCTTTTGCCTGCCAGTAGCAAATAGTTGAAGATTTTAGAAAAAGAGAAATGAGGACTCTTCTGGCTTTAATTATCCTGACGGGTTTTCTCCAAGAATGTCTGTTTCTCATTATGTTTAACAGTTCTGTGTCCCTTCCATATTTGATTATAATATTCTTTGAACTTTTATTGCCTTCTTACTACACCAAGTCTCGAATCCACCAAAGTGTTACCATGATGACAGACTATAATGAAAGTGGGAACCTTTACAAGGCAGGCAAGGAGACTCTCTGTTCTTCTGTACTGGAAAGGTCAGGGCAGTGCTGGTTGAATTAGATTTTTCAAGAATAAAATCTCAAATTGAGGGATTACACAAGTGTACATTTCTGGTGGATGAGCTCTTGTCAGAGGCTCCATTTTCAGAAGCCAGCTACTCCAAGTTGCTCTTTTTATTTCTCAGCATATCTCATACAACTCTTCTTAAAATGACATTCTGAGCTTATATGTAAAATAGATCTATATATGCCCTGACTAAAATAAGAGAATATGATATAATATAACATTAACCTGCAGTAACAGTATAAGTAATACATTAATCCTAAGTTTAAGTGCCAGCTTTAACATTAGTAGTTGTGAGAACTTAGGCAAATTATACAGATGCTTCCAGTCCAGTTTTCAATCATCTGTAAAATGTATCCTCTATCTCTGATTACAGTGAGGATGAAACATAATCATTTATGTTGAATCTACAGCACAGAAACAGACACCTATAAGTTTCAACAAACATTAGATTATTTTTCTCCCTTCTTTTACTCTAATAAGTTTCAAACTTGTACATAGGCTCAAAACTGAAAAATCTAGATGGTTGATTCTGATTCTTGCTTCTAGAACACACCACAAATCATAGAAAGCTATTTAAATAATTTGTTATGCATTAAGACTGCATTAATGAAACCTTCAGTTTGATTTGCATTGTGTTGAAACAGTAAAAGATCTTATGGACATGAGCAGAAAATCCACTTGTGATTTGTTTGACTTTGCAGCTTTCCCTAAAGATCCAGAGATTCATTTCGGTGGCCTTCTGGAGGTCGGAAAGCCCATCACAGTCAAGTGTCTGGTCCCTGATGTGTACCCATTTGACAGGCTGGAGATGGAGTTACTGAAAGGTGACTCCCATATGAAGACTCAGGAATTTCTGGAAGATATGGACAAGAAGTCCTTGGAAACCAAGAGTCTCGAAGTAACCTTTACTTCTACCATTGAAGATATTGGAAAAGCATTCATTTGCCGAGCCAAATTACACATTACTGAAACTGATTCTGAAGAATCAAGTCCCAAAGAAAGGGAGACTAACAAAGAACTGCAAGTCTACAGTAAGTAGTTGTGTGATGGGGTCTCAACTTTATGGAAATTCCAACTTAGAAGTATAGCACAACAAATTTAACAACTAGGTCAACAATAAAACTGCAGTTTTTAATCCATTTTTATTTATTGGGAGCATAATATTTTTCCAGTAATATAATTCAGTGAAAAGAACAATGGATTTGGACCTAGAAGACTTGATCTTAATTTCTGGTTCTGTTAACTGTGTGACCTTGAGTTACTTAATTTTTCTATTTCTCTATCAAAGAGGAAGCAGTGTTACTACCTGATTGGGTAGTAGGAAATAGGCTTAAATGATAAAATATTTTTAGTCATGTTTTGTAAAGGCTCTTTAATAGGCCTTGAAATATTGGTTTCATAGATTTAGGAACTTGACAAGATGAGCACTTATTATGTGTGTGTGTGTGTGTGTGTGTGTGTGTGTGTGTGCTGACACATGCATATGTGCATTGGCTGGGGAGAATGGGATGAGGTTGATTGCTTCCACCTCCTTGAGAGTGCCAGGGACTTGGAGCAGTCTTGTTGTCCTAGGATCGTGTCCAAGTGGACTCACTCTTCTCTGTCTGAGACTAAAATGCTATGTTCGCTCAGGGTGCTATATTTAAAAGGATTCTCATCAACTATTGCATGTTTAGCCAAAAGAAAATGTGATGGAAAGATTTCAACAATATTTTGAAAGGAACAGTTGAGATAGGATATAGTTTCCCCCAGAGAATACAAAACTTAGAAAAGACAGCTCTAATTAAATATTTGAAAGAAAGTTGTATGTGAAACATTTATTTTGTAACATCAGAGGACTATACTATGACCAGTATGTTAAAGTTAGTTACTAAGAGGAAGATTTCACTGTTGAGCTGAAATAGGAGAAATTTTTCTAATAATTAAAGACGTTCAAAAATCAAGTTCACAGCTGGGCATGGTGGCACACACTTGTAATCCCAGGGCTTGGGAGGCAGAGGCAGGATAATTGCCCAGAGTTCAAGGCCAGCCTGCACTACAAAGTGAGACCCCATCTTAAAAACAAACGAACAAAATCAAGTTCACCATTTTGTAAGGCAGTGAGCTGCCTCTCTCAGAAAATGTTGATGCTGATTTGAATGAGGTCTTGGTAAGATTCTTAGGTAGGAGATTGAGCCACATGACTCTAAAGGCCCTTCCTGATTTCTGAATATCTCCAACCATCTGAAAACATCCAACATCAAAAAAGATAAATTAAGTTAATCAGAGGATAACCTGACTATTTTCTATAATGACTCAGCAGTTCTTTACACTAACTTGGCAGAATAAATTTGAAGAATGTTATCTCTGTTAGGTTGAGATGATGCTTAAAGATTGCTAACATTATGCCCTGATTTTTCAGTCTCACCCAAGAACACAGCTGTCTCTGTGCACCCCTCCACAAGGCTCTTAGAGGGTGACTCTGTGACTATGACATGTTCCAGTGAGGGTCTACCAACTCCTGAGATTGTCTGGAGCAAGAAATTAGACAACGGGAATCTACAGCTTCTTTCGGGGAATGCAACTCTTACATTAATTGCCATGAAAATGGAAGATTCTGGAACTTATGTCTGTGAAGGAGTCAATCAGATTGGGAGAAACAGAAAAGAGGTGGAATTAATTGTTCAAGGTGAGTTGAATGTAAAAAAATATAATGATAAATGTGCAGTCATGGGGATTTGAGTGAAAACGACACAGTATCAATGCAGAAATTCCTTCTCTGCATTTTATTGATGACCCATTTGGTTGTCATGTGCTTTAATGAGTATATTTATTATACTCATGCTTCTTGGAAGTCTTTTTTCCTAATGCTTCCATGGTTCTGCTTTTTGGATTAGCTTTTAGCTTACATTATTCCTTTACTTCCTTAATGTCTGGTTTTCTCTTCCTCCTGTCCTGTGATTGTTGATATATTTCAGGTATTCAGTCCTCTTTTCTTCTTACTCAAGACAATCCAGAATTGGACTATTATTATATGCTGGTTATTCCCAAATTCATGCTTCCATTCTTTACCACCAAATCTGTTAGTTCTACCTCAAAATGATACCTGGAATCTGACCTTTTCCTCAACCCTCTCATTGTTGCCTTATGTTATCATCTCTCACTTGGGCTTTTGGAAGATGTTCTTAAATAGCAGCATTCCCTGAACACCAGCTATGTTTCTGACACTTTAAATAAGCTATCTATAATCTTTAAGAAATAAGAACTAAGAAGTATTTTATACCCATTTTATAGGTGGCAGAATGGAGTCTCACAAAGATTAATAATGGTATCATCTATTAATCATATACTTAGTATTTGCCAAGAGTTCTATATTCTATTTCACAGATATTATTTCAATCTTTACCATAACTCTATAAGGTAGACAGAAACTTAGGTTCAACACAGTTCATAATTTTCTAAGTTCAAATAGCATTTACAGGCTCATTTTCATCTAAAACTTTATGTCTTTTCCATTGTACCTAATTGTCTATTATTAATTTTAATTAATATTTTAAATTGGCTAATCATAATGTATACATGTACAAAATACAATGTGATGTTTTGATATATTTATACAATATAGGATGAGTAATTCAAGTGAATTAACATATTCATCATCTCACATCATTTTTTGTGGCGAGACATTTCAAATTCATCTCTTAGCTGTTTTTAAGTATAAAGTACACTTTTAAAATTAACTGGAGTCACCCTACTGTGTAACATAGTCCAAAAACTTATTTCTCTCTCTCTCTCTCTTTTTTTTTTTTTTTTTTTTT